TTTCTTGTCTCTTTCTTCTTGAACGGTGCGTTTGGGTGATTCTTGTGTATTTTTTCGTGATCTCTAACAAACGTGTTTTTGTATTTTGCCCTGCTCTTCCTACCAACGTGTATCGGGAACGAGAAAACAATGTTGCTTTCCCCCCTTTTACAGCCACCTTCACACAGCATATATGGAGCAGTGAAAACCAGATAATCCGGTCTTTTTGTTACATCTAAAATTCAATTGACATGGACATTTTTCTTCTTACAAATAGACAAATAAATATTGTATTATATACGAACGTATTGTGTTGAAGTTTTTTTGACTAACTCTGTTAGCTGGTTCTCGATTTTTTTTTTGTTTTCTAGCTGTTTTTTTGGGAGCAATTTATAGTACACGATAAATCGTGAATGCTAATACTCACTTCATAGATACTCGAACGTTCTTTGTTACTAACCAGTTCGGGTCACATTAGTAATTAATTTTTCTCGTCGAGATTAAAATTATTTAAAATATAGTATCCTAGTTATAATATTAAGATTTATTTAATTAATTAATCGGAAATTGCAGCCCAGAGTTTGATAGCTATAATTTATAAAATACGTAGGTCCGGGCTTGTTAGACAACCTTCTAGGAAAGGTTCAATAAAAATAATATAATAAATAACATATTGAAATATCTGAGTTGTTATTGAAATATTTTATTTTTTTAAGTTTTATTGCTTAGATTGGTGGACGAGCCACCTGAAGCTGGAGCCCATAGACATCTATAACGTAAATGCGCCACCCACCTTGAGATATAAGTTCTAAGCTCTCAAGTATAGTTACAACGGCTGCCCCACCCTTCAAACTGAAACGCATTACTGCTTCACGACAGAAATAGGCAGGGTGGTGGAACCTACCCGCGCGGGCTCACAAGAAGTTCTAACATCAGTAATTACGCAAATTATAATTTTGCGGGTTTGATTTTTATTACACGATGTTATTTCTTCACCGTGGAAGTCAATCGTGAACATTTGTCGAGTACGTATTACATTAGAAAAATTGGTACCCGCCTGGGATTCGAACAGCGTTGCTTCGCTCAACACGAATGTATTGGACGTCTTATCCTTTAGGCCACGATGACTATAAAAATAATGTATCTTGTGTCCCAAGATGGGTGATCATCCATCGATATTCCAATTTCAAATTCCATTCCAAATTCAAATGCTACGAGCTTCTATGTCTATATGATGGTCTATAAAAATAATGAAAAAAAAAAACACTTTTGTTAATAATACATTAAATTAAATATTTACTGTCGCCATTGATGATTTTTTTGAGAAAAATCTCGCCGTCTGTAATCCCATTATCGGTTTCAACAACGGTCGCGTTGTTTATCTTACTTTCCCCCAATATAAATGATAATGAACTAAAAACATTCAACATTTTAAAATTCAGAAACTTCACCATTGTTCTTGACTTGAGTTTTTTTTATTTTTAATTTACCTTTGAAAATATTGTATACTTCAGTATATACAGCGACTGCGGTATATATGATTTATATACTAAAGTCAGGATTGTTTTATCGAAGTTTATGTTTATTCGTAATGGCTTGTTTTACGAGTGCTCGCGCACACAGCATACTTCATCCACTAAAATAAGATTTTGTTGTATTAGAGTAAGTGGTCTACAGATACTATATTTCGTTTTAAAGCTATTTAAAATACGTTAAAACCACTAAGCACGGTTTATTAGCTTTTTATTTACATCCATTGCGATTCATGTCGTTCGCTCCGTTACGAATGTTTTAAAATCGAATGAACGTTTGATAGTGTATATAAATTGTTCGTGCCGATTTGTTTGAAAATTGGCAAAGTGCTCTTTACAATTGTTTGAGAAAATAAAAAATAGCCGATCGAGATCATGGCTTGGAGTAACGTGACTTTACTAATACATCTTGTGGCCAGTGTAATAATTCATCTGTATTCTAATTTACGGCACATATTGTAAGATTCCTAGAATCTTAAACCTACGTATAAATTTACGTTTGTGCTGAGCTGGGTCGATTTGGCACTGTTTCGCGCGAGTTATTTGAGATATGTCAGTGACCAATTCATTTAAAATGAATTATGAATGTTGATTAAAATCAATTAGAGCTTGTACTAGATAGTAGTTTTACAGTATTACCAAAATTCACCTTATATTTCGTAATTTTAATATTGTCATGCGCACAATATGTAATCGTGTATGTGTGCTATGTTTTTTTTTCCTTTGAATTGGTACATAATTTGATTTGGTAGTCTATCTCGAATTTTTTTATTTATTGCTTAGATGGGTGGACGAGCTCACAGCCCACCTGGTGTTAAGTGGTTACTGGAGCCCATGGACATCCACAACGTAAATGCGCCACCCACCTTGAGATATAAGTTCTCAAGTTTAGTTACAACGGCTGCCCCACCCTTCAAACCGAAACGCATTACTGCTTCACGGCAGAAATAGGCAGGTTGGTGGTACCCACCCGCGCGGACTCACAAGAGGTCCTACCCCCAGTAATTACGCAAATTATAATTTTGCGGGTTTCATTTTTATTACACGATGCTATTCCTTCACCGTGGAAGTCAGTCGTGATGTTTACTACGTATTTCATTAGAAAAATTGGTACCCGCCTGAGATTCGAACACCGGTGCATCGCTCAACACGAATGCACCGGACGTCTTATCCGTTAGGCCACGACGACTTCAAAAAATTAAACCACAATAAATTAAATTGATATAAAAGCAGGAGTGTAGTTGAATAATGGATAAAAGTTGAACAGCTCTGCTGGGCTAGACGGGCGGCTCTCGTGTTATGAGTTTCCGCGAACACACGTAAGCGCCAAACGAGAATTTCGCCAACTTTCCGAACATGCAGCAATACGGAAATTTAAAGCGCTCCCGAAGTATATTAGCACCCGAGATATGAGGCCTTTTTTAATTTCATGCCTCGAATTCCAACCGTAATACACTTTAATAGTGTATTGATGTAACAATACAAATAGGAGACTAACGATATCTATTTTTGATAGCCAGTACCTAATCTCCCTTGGTCATTGTAACATTTAATTATGTTCAATTTGGCCGAGTGCCTGCTTTACCTGCTAGGTAGCCCAACGTTTTGGCCAACGCCCAACTGATTACATTCACTAAACTGTCAAAGATAAGTTATTTTAGATGTTACGACATTGAAATTTCGAGCCTAGGACGCCGTACGTATGTGTCACGTTAACATGACATTGGCCGATGGGAATTTAACACTTTTCACGGGTAAACGATCTTTGAGAACGAGTTCACGTGTCGCTCGTAATTTATGATTGAGCTGTCTCGTAGTCGGAAATGGATCGTCTCGTTGGCACAATTAACCGAAATGATAAATGCTAATAGTCCGTATCTTTATTTGATCATCTGGTCACGAAACATTTGTTTGTTTGTTTGATAAATTATTAAGCACTAAAATACAACACGTACAATTAAACTGTTGCTTTAGAAGCTATTTGTTTAGTTTAGGGTTTCTACGATGCTATAAAGCAAATATCATTATTGGTTAAGAAGGGAATTTAGCAATGCGAACTTTTCTTCATTCGATCAATTCAAAACATGATCTATAAAGTGTAGCCCTGAAATACACTAGTATTTATGTATTTAAACCTATATTTTAGAAGAAAGGTATAATCGAACTAATTGACTAATATATTTTACTAAATAATAATTCGGTTTTGTTATTAACTTCATAGCAAAGTGTATGTACATCTTTGATAATTAATTAAGTAGTAGATTTATTACTCAAAGCGTTGATAACATTCATTTATTAATTGTTTAATTTGTTAGACCTTAATCAAATCGAAAATATTTATAATAGCACCAATTAATATTAATGTTGTTTAAAAAACTCGGTATGGTATTAATGTAAGCTTCTTTGAAAATATATACTGATTATCAATGAATGAAACACGAGATTTGCTTTCATTTACTGGGTTACTGTCAAGCAGACACTCCTAAAAGCTTTTTAATGTTTCTGTCAAAACGGATCATTGGAAGCAGTTGTATTTGGAAAGTACCAGGTGTACATTTTCGTATTTTTTTTCTCTCGTTAAATGTGATGCCAAAGATCACGCGGCCTTTCGTATATAAATGTAACGACAAAATAGCTATTCGAAATGTTAAATTTCTATACTTTTCTCGGTATAATGTTTTTTTTTTTTAAATTAAACTAAAAAAGAAGCTTATAGCAAACCGACCTCTACGTCACTCTCGCGGCCGTATGCCCGCTTGCTATACATAGTTAGTATCTATGTCCGTCTGTTAACAGAGTGTATAATCTATGTTCCGGGCGCTTCCGTTTTGAGTGTGAGTAGCGTGCGCCCGCGTCTTAATGTAATTATCGTTTTAAAATTGAAAATTGTTTATGTTTAAGAAAGATTAGAATTAGCAATGTGATACTAGTGACTAACCCATAGTTTTATTGAATAAAAATATCCCTGAGATCTACCCCTCACTATAAGCTACATTTTTGGTATGTTAGACTTATGAAGTTGTTGGATATAACTCGCTTTGCGGTCTTCGCTATAGCTTTGCATTTGTCAAAGAAAGTGAATGAAAAAACCTTAACAATACTATTTGTTGTATATATATATCGACACTTGAAAGGCAAACGTGACTAAGCGACAATAACTGCTTTGTACATAAATGATAGGCAATAACCATATTCGATGCACAAAAAAAATATATTTCTAGGTCTATTAAAATCATTTCAATCTTACAGCTACTAGCTAGATTCTACTACAGCTAGATTCGTTAAATTATTTTTTTTCCCTCAGGTATTGCAACTTTAAATTGGTCTACTGTAAAATTCACGCATTGTCGCTTAGTCACGTTTGCCTTTCAAGCGTCGATATGGTCAAGTCTTCGATATACCTGCCTAAGGTATTGTATGTTATCTAATCATAAGTCGTTGCTTTATCAGATGAATATTTCGCAAGCGTACCAAAATAAAACAACGAAATAAACTTAAAAGTATTTATTGTCTTACCCATAATAAGACAAATTTAAATTATATTTTAGGAATGCGGACGGCATCCGATCATACACAGTTAACGGTCCATGGGAAGCTGGGTCTGCATCATGACAGCGAGATCCTGTAACATTGAGAACAAGGTCAAGCTTGTGGACCGGAACCGATTCCGCGAAGCAATCTTTAGCGAGGGTTTCAAAGCGAAGCTAGATGGAGACGCTGGTGAATCCGAGATTAGAATACTTCCTCGAGATAAGAGACTTCGTGTGGTAACGCTGGAACTTGGCGCCTACGGAAATGTGATGGAGTAACGATTGATCTTGGTTTTTGGATTTTTGGGTGTAGGTAATCGGTCTGTTGGCCAAGTAGGTCCGGAGGGCGCGCTCGCCCCAGGTCTGCGCCCGCGGCGGCTCGACACGTTGTCCCTTGTTCCTTCGGTCCAAGTACGTGATCAGGTCATCGTAGTAGTTCTTTTGGTAGTCGTAAATGTAGTTGTACTGGAGGAACTTCGGCCTGCAATTACATTACTTCACTGAATCACATGAAACTGTAACGATGAACATTTATAATCCGTGTACAATGATAAATAATATGGACAGGTACTTTTAAAATTTGATAATAATAATAAATGTTTTTAGGTAGTTTGTTTACAAAAATGTGTTTTAATAATGAGATTGTTGATGTAATTACCTGCACCAGTGCTTGAATACGAGCCGCCTGGGCTCTGATGAGTCGTTGGGGTTCTCTGGTGGTGGAGGTTCGGCTTCCTCAGGCTTGGCTTGCTGGGCGCCCTCCTTACCGGGTTCGGCTTCAGAAGCAGCCGGGGCCTCCTCGGGCACCGGTTCGGGCTGCTCTGGAGTTTCGTCCTCTACGTCATCCCACATCTCGTAAAAGGGTAGTCTGCGATCAGAAACCACTATATTATTGACCACGTTAATAACACCACAACGTTCACCACACGGACGGCCACGGACCTAACTGGGGTTGTAGAAACGTGCGCAGTGGATGATCGTTCGTGTACGACTGTGTATCTTAGCGCGTCCCCTGGTAGCGTGAGCAGCCTCCCGATTTATCTCCCTTCGACCCCACCTGACTGTCGCAAGCGTTGCGTCCACGAGACGCGCTGCCAATGATTCTCTGTCAATACTTTGACCATGCATTGTATCGAAAAAATCTTTGTTGCTTTCAAATTGTTTGCCAAATGGCGCATTTTTTCTTTTGAAGTCTATATATTGTCTCGTTTGCCGAGCGAATTTCAATTGACATTTTTTCAATGGCTTCACGTCAAGCTGATATATTAGTCTCTTAATACGCGCTGACTTGAATAAATTAAGTCGCGGTTCCGTTTTGTGATTGAGATGACACACGAAACATAAAGTATTGTTATTTAACTGTTCAAAAGCCGTTTGTAACGAATGTCAAGCGAAAAGACAAAACAAAGGTATAAATTTCCTAGGATTCATGTGGAAGCGAGCCAGATTGTCATTATTTTGTGTTTGTTAATCTGCTACATTTTATTGATGACACGACAACATCATAGCGTATTTTAGACAGTTCAACATTTTAAAATAGGTTCAGCTAGCTTCACCCCTAGTCTGACCGGGTTCTGACCCCGGACGGAGATCGGACGTCGGGTGTAAGAGTGCAGGGGAGTCGTTTAGTGGGTGGGGCCTAAAATCCTTGGGCCCACGATCTGCTCTCAGCACCTGCAGATCGTTGAGTCTCACATACCCCGCGCGCCCCCTAGGTGCGGGGACCTCGTAGGAGGTTCGGCCCCCGGCCAGGGAAAAAAAAAGCTTCACCATTTTCTATCAAATCAACAGCCAATTTATGTGTAATTATAAAGTTATGTAAACCTATTTATTTTATTTTGTCGTTTTATGGAATAATATATATATTTTTTTAAAGCATCGTGTCGGTGTTATTCGGAGCGTTTAAGCTAAATGTCCAACAAACATATTCACTATAATTGAGACTTCGGCTACATCTCAAGGTCGGTGGCCGTAACCGATGCATGCACCTGACCTTGCCTACGGACGCGGGTATAGCGCGAGGAATCACCAACTGAATTCATGCTACACATTCGTAGATATAATTACATAGAGAATTACATATTTTCCGTTCACGTTAAGCTATTGTTATACATTTTGAGGTGTACAAAGCTAGATACGGTTAAGCACATATGCAATTGAGATCTGCGTTCTTTTGCCTAACAGAGAAACATGATTCAGCTTGGCCATGGCTTTTTCCATGCGACTCCGCATCTTCGAATCTCGAAAAACTTCGGCATAGTATCATCGATGAAGATAAGTGTCGTGCGTCAGTAAATTTTTCGTTAATTAAATGACAGTCGCGGCAAGGCGTGACCTGGTTTAACGGTAATTTTCTATATTGATGTCTCCCGACCGTTGGCACGTCAATACTGATGACTCAATTTATTGAGCGCATTCATCAATGCACGTTGACGCGGAATGTTATCAGGTATTCTAAGCGGCACAGGTAAACATGATTAAATATTTATTCAAGTATAAACACAGGTCAGTCTTGTGATCTTTAAATAGACATTTAAACGAACAAGGTAGAATCGGGAAGTTTATATTGAGGTGATGTGAGTTGGCGATCATGTGATTTTGACCTATGTTAACCTTCAGTAATATTTATGGCTTGGTCGATACGTATTCACCGATCACTTGCCAAGCGATTCATTTTTAAATCTTACGTTGTTTTGTTCGACTTTTAAGGATTCGCGGGCCTATAGAAAAACCAGTCTTTTGTTTCAAGTCTAATGACGTTGTCGTAATTTATGTGGCTGAAGCCATAAATAATGTAAGTTTGAGTTTCAAAATATTTGTTTGCGTTTTTCGTGTTTGTCGTTCGAAAGACCAACATGAATTGCATGACGTAATTGACACTTTTGTTCTTCTTCGCGGTCGTTCCTTCATTGTTCAGGATCTTTTTACTGGTGGTAGGACCTCTTGTGAGTCCGCACGGGTAGGTACCACCACCCCGCCTGTTTCTGCCGTGAAACAGTAATGCGTTTCGGTTTGAAGGGTGGGGCAGCCGTTGTAACTATCATTGTGACCTTACAACTTATATCTCAAGGTAGGAGTTTCTCAAGCTTTACGTTGTAGATGTCTATGGGCTCCAGTAGCCACTTAACATCGGGTAGGCTGTGAGATCGTCCACCCATCTAAGAAAAAAAAATCTTGACTTTTCTGTAATATTGTTGCTGTTTCTCCCCATTTATTTCTGTCGTTTACTTCGTGGAGAGGTACGTTAGCAGGCAAATCTAGCTGCTAAATCACGTGATCAGACCACCCCTTCGGCTTCGATCGCTATGTCTTTTGCCTTTTGTCTACCGGTAACGATGAGCATTCCAGGCTGTGTGTTACGATCCAATCATCACGAAATTTGGAAACTCAAACACCTTGTCAGCAGTACAGAATAGAAATTAGGGTGCCTTTCATAAAAAAAAACCTATTTCCCGCTGATAGAATTTATATTAAGTGAATTCATGTTCTAGAAATAGTGCAAAACGGCATGCAAAAAATTATCTGTCATTCTTAATTTGTGTATTGCTAGTAATGTAATGCTTCAATATATAGTTACGATATAAATATAATATAGACATGTATTCTATAATATAGTATATTTATGGTTCAAATTCCATCATCACGGTTATATACATAATTTAAATAATCTTATACACATAACAACCTTTATATATACATACATATAATTTCAAGTAATGAAGCTTACCACAATCATACTTATTTCGTCGCAAAATTGCGCATTCCTTTTCGAAGGATAGAACTGATCTTATGAAATTGTGGTTGACCCTCCATTTTGTCTTAAACTAGCTATTCCCGTTATGTCTTCAAGAGATTCCGCTGATGGTTTAACTTCAAGAGGACATACATCAGTTTCATACATAAGTTAATAAAAACATTATATCTATATTAAATTAAGCTTTAAAACAACTTTTCTATCAACTACAAACACATAAGCAAAACGTTCCGTGTTGCAGGAAAAAGAAAAAAAAACAGAGTGTAGCCACGTCGAGGTACAATTCAGTGGAGAAAAGTTGAAAGCGTATTTGCCCACAATAAAGTGTCAGTAAATCTGGCTTAGTGCATACAATGAAGAGGCTCGATACAAATATGTGAAGAGCACAGAAGCCATTGTGAACGTGGAACATTGCACCGTTTCCCACCGGGCGTTGACGGAGCCAGTCACTACTGAGCCTCCTTCGCATTGCATCGGTACGTTTATCTCGGGAAATTCAACTTCTCGGTCAATAACGAGTCAGTACAAGGAAGTGGCTTATTTAAGAATATCCCGTCAAGACAAATGTTTGAAAATGTTTTTCACACGTATTTGATAAAACCTTGACTAAAATCAATAGTTAAGACATTCAAGAAAATTGCCTATTATGTCATATTTAAAATAAAAGAAGTTGTCTTAAATTTATCTCAGACGTATGATGGGTGAGCATGAGGACGTCCACGGTTCATTAATTTGTAAAGAAAACTAGAAAATTAAGATCTGGCTTCTTTGCTTGGTAGACTTAGGATCCACATGTTTTATTTGGAACTTGTCTATAATGGTAAGTTAAATTTTAAACGTCACTAGGTTGGTTCAGCTTTTTGTCAAATGTCTTCCATTTTATTATAACTATTGCAACAGACGATATTACATAGGCGGCACTGAAAATTTCGGGAATTAACGAAGTGACACAACATTACTATTTAAAAATGTATTTATTGCTTTTCGAAGTATTCTCCGCGAAATTTAACACATTTTTCCATACAATGGAACCAATCATTGAAGCAACCATTCCATTCGAAAGTTGGGGTCTCCAAAATGGCCGTTTTTTAGGCGTCTACAGCTTCTTCAGGTGATGAAAATCTCTGTCCACGCAATTTATTCTTTATTTAGGGAAAGTATAGTAATCATTAGGGCTTAGGTCGGGGCTGTACGGCGGATGGTCTAATAATTCTATGTTTTCTTGCTCTAAAAACTTTTTTGTTCTGTGCGCGGTGTGAGAACTCGCATTGTCGTGATGGAGGATGATGCGGCGGTTGCAGTTCTCTTTACGGAGTTCAGAAACGACCTGTGGCAAACAAATGCTAGCATACCATTCTGCATTAACCGTTCTTTGTCCCTCAAGAGGAATAGACGTAACATGGCCGGTTTTGGAGACAAACGTGGCCACCATTTTTTTTGCAACACTCCGTGAACGAACAATTTTTGTTGGCTTTAACTCATTTTCGAACACCCAAACTCGTGACTGGTTTTTTGTTTCGGGTTCGTACGCGTATATCCAGGATTCGTCACCTGATACAATGTTGTATACAGCATTTGAGGATCCTGCGTGGAATCTTTCGAGAGTTCTGACGCACCAAGTAACGCGAGCCGCTTTTTGCTCTTCACAGAGCGAATGCGGTATCCATCGGGAAAACAACTTTTTTACACCTAATTGTTCATGCAAGATTATTTGTATTTGACTCATGCCAATGTCTAAAGTTGCCTGAATTTCGCGGTATGTCACATGTCGATCTTCCTCAATCAGCTTACGCACAGCATCAACGTTTTCTTGGGTGACTGCAGTTTTTGGACGACCTTGACGGGGATCATCACTGAGCTTGACACGTCCACGTTGAAACTCAGCAAACCAGCGATAAATTGTGGTTTTGGATGGGGCTTCATCACCAAATGCAGAAATCATCCGGTCAACACACTGTTTTTGTGTTAAACCACTTCGAAAGTCATAATAAATCATCGCTCTTGAATTTTCTCGAGTCAATTCCATTTTCTCAACGACTAAACAAGTTTGACAAAACCTCGTGACAAGACCGAGAATCTTTTTTAAAATAAATAAATGGTATTCGATTTTAAAAACCAAGGAGTTTTCAATTAAAAAGATTTTAATATGACAGGAACAATGGAAATATTCCATTCCAGTAACTTTTAGTGCAGCCCTCGTATGCAAATTTAATAAGAAGAAGAAAAATATTAGATTAGACTAATTACGACAACTAATTACTTAGTCACCCGTGACCGCGAGAAATCGAAAAATCAAAATTTTTGGAATGCCTAAAAGTGAGATATACCAGAACCAAATCTAGTTTCAGAAATATTACCTTCTTAAGAAAAAGAGAATTACTCTGATATGATTAAGGACGTATTTTTGTAAAGACATTATGATGATCATTAAAGCCTTAAACAACAAAAAAAACATGTAATTTGCGTGTTATTTTATTATTATTATACATAATAGAGTTTAAGTTATTATAAGCTTTGATAAGGTTGGTATCTGGACAAGCCAATCAAACCAAGCCCAAACCTGGTACCTCTTTCATGATATTCTATATATTTTCTTGTAGAAAGGTAAAAGTATTTTAGTATTCATAATCAAATCTTAAGTTAGATTAAAATAATATGAAATAATATTTATTTATGATGTCACACATCCCACTTAACCTTTTCTTACGTTTTAATTTCAAGGTGAATGCCAACATTCACCTTGAGACACGAGGGGGGATCTTAATTGAAGAGTATAACGGCAATCCTACCCTTTTAATCGTAATCGGCCTGTTTCTCGCGGTACCGGCCCGTGTGGAAGCTCCTCCAATAATTATGCAAGGTCAAAATTATAAATCATTTCCATTTGATTACACGATATTATTCCTTCATTTGAACCCTGACATAGTCTACGGATACACAGATTTATTATCCATTAGGTCATTTTAATATTGAAGAAACAAAATGATTGAAATATTACATGATGGACTCAGAAAATGTTTATAGTTTTGAGTCACCTCTAGAAAACGGCACTCGGCTTACAGAAGATCTGCAATTCATTATTAATACTACATTAATTAATACTCTTAAGCTACTTCAGTATCGGAATAATCTCATCATAACGATAAGCCAAGCTCTTCAGAAAATATTACAGTTTCGATTACATTAATTCGAATAGGTAAAACAATAACTTATGTGTATATAGAATAAACAAACCTCTCAGCCCAAAACCATTTTATAAACAAAGTACTTAAATATTATAATACATATAAACATATTTTATTTTATACAATTTTATTATGTTTTTTTATTGCTTAGATGCGTGGACGAGCTCACAGCCCACCTGATGTTAAGTGGTTACTGGAACCCATAGATATCTACAACGTAAATGCACCACCCACCTTGAGATAAAAGTTCTAAGGTCTCAGTTACAACGGCTGCCCCGTCCTTCAAACCAAAACGCAGTATTCACGGCAGAAATAGGCAGGGTGGTGGTGCCTACCCGTGCAGAATCACAAGAGGCCTCCTACCACCAGTAATTACGCAATTTATAATTTTGCTGGTTTAATTTTTATTACACGATGTTACGCTTTATTATATCTGTGTGCTTAATTTAAATTTTAATGCACCTACCAATGTTCACTAGTACGTTTGGTTGATTGTTAGAGGATGCCTTAGTCATTAAGTCCAGCTAGATCAATACATAAAGTGTAATAAATAAATAAAATTTAGCAGATAATAAGCTCATCATTGGATTGAGAATAACTCCTCTTGTCATATTGAAAATGAAATATAAATAGGCTTAATTAACTTCAGCTTTGTTTTGTTAATAGTCTAATATTTTTAGGTTTTTTTATTTACGGGGGTGCCCGGTACTCGGCTGTTGGTCCGGTGGTGAGGCGGCGCAAGGTGGCTCCTGTGCACCGCTCACGGTGTGTCTCCGAGACGACGTCCTGCGGGATTTTCCCGGGGATGGAGTGCCGTCCTATTAACAGGATGGGTACCGGCGACGGCGAGCCTTCGGCGCGCACTGTGCGGTACCGTGGGTTTCGTGGAGTCGGAGTGGTGGNCCGGTGGTGAGGCGGCGCAAGGTGGCTCCTGTGCACCGCTCACGGTGTGTCTCCGAGACGACGTCCTGCGGGATTTTCCCGGGGATGGAGTGCCGTCCTATTAACAGGATGGGTACCGGCGACGGCGAGCCTTCGGCGCGCACTGTGCGGTACCGTGGGTTTCGTGGAGTCGGAGTGGTGGGGCTCGATGGGGTTTAGTTGGTAGTCGGCTTTGCGGGATAGCTCTTGGTGGCTGACGCCGTGCAGTGCCTCGCGCGCCTTTCTCAAGGCGTAGTCTCCCGGCAGGAAGAGGAGGACCCCTGTCTTCTTCTTCTCCCTGTTCTTCTCTGGAGGCGCCGGAGTCCGACATAACACGGTCTCTTACCCCTCTCGACCGGGTATCGAGTATAGAGACAGACGTGATTTTTTACGACGCCGTTTTTTACCAAGATACACCAATAGGCAACTGAGCAAGACAACTGAGTCCACTATGGTCGAATGTACTCGAAACGCTTCGAATCGCCAGGCCTAGAAGCGCATTGACTGGAGGACGGTCGTCCGTCGTAGCATGGGCTACCTAATGAGTCCTTCTGCACATACAGCGTCAGCGCAACCACGACCACTCTGACAAAAGTGTCCGACTGAGAAGAAGACACCAATATAAATGCGGTCACGCACCCAATAATTTTTTTAAAAGTTTTCGTAGAAGAACGTAATTAAAGTTTGTTTTTGTTTCGAGCCGTAACCCTGAAAACTGTCCTGAATTAAAAACGAGATTAAGGTGTAAACATTTCCTTTTTGATAATTCATAAAACTCCATAAAATATATCATATAATAATATGAGATTAATAATATTTTATTATTATTCGAAAACTACATCAATGGAATTGTTATCGAACAAGTTTAGCGAGTTTTAACCCGCAGAGGAATTGACTGAGCTGCTCCATTGAAACGAGCGATAAGCTGTTCACTTCAAAAATCATATTTCTCGCGTTACTCTGCATTCTATGTGTTGAATATCAATAGCCAGATATCTTCCTTTTTTAATATAGCTAATACTTTTCTTTTAATACTATTATTCCTTTCCTATTTTTTCAGCCTAATATATTAAGATAAAACAAATAGGGGACAATTTATGGCGTCGGGCTGTGTTGATTATCTGTGCAATTCATTTACAAAACTTGAACAAAAAAAAAGGTTATTAAAGAAAAACTATCACAACTAAACTATCACTACATAAGATGGCGTCCTAGAACAATACAAAGATATTTCCATAGTATCCAGATTCGCCCACTAATACAATCTGTAATCTATACACTATAGTAAGGTAGTTTCACTTTGAAATAAATGAACGAAACATCGATAAGCATTCCAATTAAAGGTACACAGTAATCAATTAGAACACTAATTACTTTACTACTAGAAATTGCTTTGATAATTAATATACAGCCAGTGTTCGGGGTAGTGATTACAAATTTAAATTATAGATATTTACCTTCATTCATAATATAGAAAAATAATAAAACTTATCAGTACACTGCAAAGTAAATAAAAATCGCAAAAGAATTATAAGCGAAGTATTTTCAATATTCCATTGTCTTGTCTAGCACACAGTGGTGGATTTACACTAGGGGCAGTCGGGGCAAGTGCCCAGGGCGGCAAAATTTTGAAAGAATTTTTTTTTTTTGTCTTCGGAAGATTGTTCAATATAATCAATTAATTCTAATTATTAATAATTTTCTTTTTAATTGATAATTCCAGAAATTCTATATGATATAGTTGCCGCAATTTTAAATTTTTTTTATTTTGAAAAAAATAATAATAATATATAAACTATATTTTTAGGTAAAATTCCAGTATTGAGGCGGATTTTTTTTCGGTGCTCAGGAGCGGCATTAAATTTAAATCCGGCCCTGCTAGCACACTGAACAATACTCCTGAGCGATCGGTTATGTCTGTGCTCATGTTGAGCTGTGATGCTTCCAGACTCGTACGAGTATATCCCACTGTAATTGATTCTGAGCTTAAATACAAACCTATACGGGGACTTTAGTAAAACCGATATGACAACGGCCACGATACGACAATGTACATTCAAAACAATATTCATTAATTAGACGAATATAATTAATTAGATGCATAATAGCTTAATATAGTTAACATTATAATTTTTTTTATATATTTGATCATATTGTAGTATATAAATATATTACGTAACTAAATTATAATGCGTAGTTAATCTTAAAAATAAATACTCTTACTGCATGCACGTGTACCTCCATTAAAAACAAATAATAACGTATTAGACTAAGGTTCTGATAAAAATATATATTTTTTATTTAATTTCAATACTCATTTTGTCGTCGATGAAATTCACCAATGAAAACGAGAAATTGACAAAAGAAAAAGCGTTACACATTCGTATGTAGTAATTAAGTAATGTACGTAATACACTCTCTTTACAAGTCGTCGAAGAGAACTTCAGAGTAAACAAAAAGTTTCTAATTAGTTTCATATAAATCAAATATATTTTCAGAGATGAAAAACAAATTATTTTCTCTAAATCAAAATTTCGTTAAACCCTTCTCGAATTTTATATAATTTGTTAATTCATAAGCTGACTCTAAGGTGTTATTAAGAATTAAAACGAATCGCAAGAAACCAATGTATTAATTTAATAAATAAAAACAGGGCAATACATAACGTTCCGATAAACGATCTATAAAATTTAATAAAATAGACATCGACAAAATAATTGTACAAATGCAAGGAGCAAGCTTTCAAGCAAACTTAATCTCAGCTGATTTCGTTGCAGAGAATGGTTGAAATTTTCAATTTGCTTAGAAAGTGACTTGTTTCTTCTCCTTTTCTGATCTGATCGAGATTTTTGAAGAAGCAACGGCTGTGTCAGACGAATCAGTGTCAGCGACTAGTGCCCTTAGGCGCGCCACTCTCTTCTCTCTAGCTGCACTCCTCTCGTTCAGTTCACTCATTTCGTCTTCCAGATCTGAAAGGCGTGCCCTCGTTACTTTCGCTCGTTGAGCGGCTGCACTCTCTTCCTCTCCGCTTTTTAAAGCAGTCCATTTCGTAAGCGAATTATCTTCGAGTCTCCTGGCGATGCGCTTTTCTGTGCGTTCTTCGTTATCCTGCAGAGCACGTCTGGCGCTGCTGACTTCCGAGTGACCAATCCCGACGCTTTCGAGTATTTTGTCAGAAATCCTCATTCGGTTTTCGAGATTGGTGACGCTGTTCTCAAAGTCGATGTCGTCAGCGAACCTCGAAGTCTTTTTGCTCGCGCGCAGGCGTTTCAACGATTCTGTGATCTGAAATGCAATTTTTTTTGCGATTAATTTCGATTGGGAGACAGCAGATGTTTGTGACAGATTGGAATCGGTTACATCCAAAGAGCACGCGAGAGAGCATCGTAATAAAATTGTTTTCGACCTCGAGTTGGTGATGTCACGTAGGTAGATTGGCAGCTCCATTACACATGGTTACAGGAATATTGCCATCCGGTCTCTAGTGCCTGACGCGAGGGCCGCGTTTGAAATCTTTTTCAATTTTCATTTGAACTTGTTTGACAGACAAACGGATTGAATTTATCACATATTTTGTTTTGCTCTGCGGTAATTGAAGTCACACATAGATTAAACCAAATTCTACATACCCACTACTACTTATTAACTATTTTAATTCATCGCCTCGTTACCACCCGGTTAATGTACCACACCACATATACCACACGGCTATTGATCGATTCTTAGTCGGTCCAATATAATTGTTGAAGATATTTTGCAATTGATATCTGACCCTACTTTTCCTTGTTGTTTCTGTGTATGTTTCCAACATTCATAGTACAAACGTTTTATTTGACCTTTGTATAAACTCGTATATTATTACTTGAGACCTTAGAACTCATGTCTCAAGGTAGGTGGTGGCATTTACTTTGTACATTTCTATGTCTTTGTAGATGGCTCCGGTACCCACGCAACATCAGGTGGGCTGTAAGATCGTCCACCAACATAAGCAATAAAAAAAATACTGTCCTTAAAAATTTCGACGTCAGCTTACTAACATTGATGTTTAATTGTAATATTATCTTTTATTAGTGTGCGATCTAGTCTAGGCTTTGCGATTCTGTCCCGTTGCCTCGTTAAAACTTTCACCAGCTAATATTTGTTGACTAGTTTATGCTTAGCCAGATTCAACTTGGAGTTATAACTTATTATTTAATCTTGAAACATGAATTCGAAGGCTCAATATGACGGCTGTGCAACTAACCCTTGAAACATATGTATATGTAATAATAATATAATACGCCCTACCATTTCTGCACAGAAATGAGAAGAAGTGATCGCCAAACAAAATGGTGAATAGGATGATCAGAGGATTATTATTTAGTTATTTATAAGGGATTAAGTATCAGTGACCATACTATAACGCTATTCACCACAAAGAAAACTCGCGCTCATCAAAACAGAAATGCTGTACTTTTTCTGGGTCTCGCTTTGCTCAAAATATATAAGTAACTATTAAATGAAATGTACATTTATAAACGATATGCTTTCTCTCACTAAAAACAAACATTACAGTTGAATTTGATGATACAACATCGCTATTATAACAGAGTACCAATATTTGTATCCAATTACATTTGGTCTGCATTTTCAATTAACATGTCGTAAGCAGAACGATTGTGGTCTTGTAATTCCGTTTTGAAACAGATAATACCTGAAAAGCCTTTTACGTGTGCACAATAAAACACTAGGTCCCTTATCTGAGAGCTATTTTGTTCATAATTAAAATGACCGTTTCAATGTTTTGGGAAAACGTTCACCAACAGAACGAGGATGGATAAATGAATGAGATTTTAATTTACGTTTATTTAGAACGTTTTAAATGGAATATTAACTGTAGTGTCATTTCGCCTTTATTTTCATGTTAAGCTCCAAAGCAAATTGGGTTCGCGATTATTAAAAGAGAACTTAAAAATCGCGTGGTTTATAATTGTAGTCCTCGTAGTCCTGATAATGCTTAACAGAGCTTTGGCTAGTGCTCCAATCTGCCTCTTCTACTTTTAGTTTGATTTATTTATTTATATTTAACACTTTATTTATCTTATTGTAACTTTCCGTCTATAGCTTCGTTTGCATAGACCACACTTTACATGCAGATACGTAAATATCTTAAAGTGGGATCAGAATGCTATTTCGACAAAGCGGCGCAACACCGAGCTCTTATTGTGGTCGCTAGTTAATTACGTAACACATACAAAGGGGCAACGCAAAGCCGTCGTCGCCAGAAACATACAAATTTATCGGATCCCCCGGATCCACTCTCGGTGCCTTTAGGCTCTTCAAGCATCGGTCACCGCCTTTGTTGAAATTGTCGATTACGACGTCGTTCGACGAATGAACTGATCCATAGACACAGCAAATAGTCCCGATTACGATCAGGTAATAGAGGTAGGTAATATATTCTGCTAGTATAAACAATTCTCTCAGGTGAGCCCGTGAATTCACCTACCCGTCCGCGCGTAGCTGCAGTAGTCTGTGAAGCTATCGGCGGATAGGTAGGGAAAATATTCATTCTCGTATGGAACTTGATGAATTTATGCCAATGCCATTAGGCAGCAACTTAGCTGTGTCCCTGGCATTGGTGATAACTATCAGGAACGGTAACAACTCCGTATCAGGGTCGTATATTCTTCTGCCTAAAAATATTTTTTGGGATTTACCAATTTTACTGAAACATTATAATCGTATATTCTGCTCTAACTTAATCTCTGTGAACATGTGTATACTATTTCGAAATTCCTTCAGTAGTTCCGGAGATGAGCGCAAACAAACACAAAACCCGAAAAAAAATTAATATCTCTGGTTTACTCATAATTAATGATCTCCTTTCAAATTTTTATTAATTTTCTTAAGAGTACAGACGCACCGGATTTCAGTATTTCATTTTATAAAAATACTAGCCGTACTCACCCACTTCGCTGGGCATTTAAAATTAACATTATTATTCATTGTCATTATTATTAGGGAGTCCAACACTCATATAAATATTAGCGTATCGATTAAGTACATGTATTTTCTACATGGATACCAAGTCTCAACTCAATCGGATGTATGGTTCAGTAGATATAACGGAACATCCGTAGAAACCACTGTAGATTTATATATTAGTATAGATGTCTTTTTTTCTTTCATTTCTGTGTTTTAATTTACAAATGCTACATAATAATATGCTTAACGACGATTTTGTTCAAGGCTGAAGCCGCATTTCGTATCACGATTGATTTAGGGAATCCATGAATTTAAAAGTTTGAATTTTGAGTACTCTGTAGTGCTTTAGTTTTTCCACACACAAACACGGGGCTGTTGAAAAATCAACTCACGAAAAATTTCGCCTTTTTACATTTTTTTTTATTACAGACAAAAAAAAATACCAAACAAAGGGCGCAAAATATAAGCAAGCTAATAAACTGCCTTTGTCTTTTATTTCTCGAGAGACAAAGCAGATACGTCATGGAAATTCGATTTGACACTTATGAAAATGCACCGAAGAAAATAAACGACAGAAAACGAAGAAAAAACTGAAAATTCTCGAAGTGAAATGATAAAATATTTTTCAAAGAAAAATCTGAAATACCTTTACGAAAATTCTAAGAGCAAGAACCATTTAATTAAAAAGCATAAAGAGCAAGATTGATGTTAAGTTAAGATATGGTTTTTTCGTGCGAAACATTCTTGATGGCAAGAGTAAATATAAATTATTTTAACGAAAGCTTTATTTATTTACCTGTCCGTTGCGTTTCCGGTTCATTTATTTTCTTTTAACAGTCAGTTCGAGTGCCGTTCGAATTTCGAATGCATCTTGTGACCTGATTCGGCTCTCGATATTTTAGTGCTAAAGTCATTGAAATACTAAAACGCCTTCGGGAAAAATAAAAAATCTACCGAAGTACAAATTAAAACTGTAATAACACTTAAGACACTTAAAGCACTTAGTTCATTTCTTCCGCTTCGCTTCAGGTGATCCATTTGCTGTTTCGCTTTGAGTAGATCCGATTACTGACTGACTTTGTGCCATCTCTGCAATGCTTTTATAGTCGATACGACATTCCTAGATTTATCAAGAACATTCTGGGCAAGTCGAGTATCTTTGATGTGTGTTTTCCTCATCTGACAATAGATGGCATTGTACTTCTCGAGCGTTCTCGATGTTACTAGTTCCTTTAATATTCGTTTCTGCTATTCAGTGATAGATGGCGTTAATGTTACCGGCGTAACAATACATATTATTATAACTGTTCAGTAGGTATTCAATAAAGCAGTGCTTCCTATTTCAATAAAATACATATATCGGAATATTCTATTAGAAATATAACTGTTTCTCTGACGGTGACAAATCAATTCTACATTATGTTAATGTCACTAAAAATTTCATAATAACTCGTATATTGTAAGCGGTACTGATATTTAAAGATTTTTGTTAGCAACGTTATAGCAACAGTAATTGCTTTATTAATACCCTTTAAAACGTGAGCATTTACAAACCTACAAGCTCTTAGCTTAGGTCCCATAAATTCTAGATACCCGAAGGCCTATGACACCGAACAGCGTCTACCGCTTAACTAGATTGTCAGCTAATGAGACGCTGGGGTATCTCGGGGCTATTACAGCATGTATCAGACTATAATTTAAGAGACGAGCAGATTTTATTACAACAACGTGCTTAGATAAATTATCATTGTATTTCATAGTTACCGTAGTAAGATTAGCATGCTTACGTACGTATTAATTGTTAAATCTTTACTAATATTTATTTATTTAATTTTTAACATATACCTACAGTAGTTTTTACGGATGTTCCGTTATAACTACTGAACCATGCATCCGATTGACTTGAAACTTGGTATCCACGTAGAAAATGCATGTACTTAATGGATAGATTAATATTTATATGAGTGTTAGACTACCTAATAATAATGACAATAAATAATAATGTTAATTTTAAATGCCCAGCGAAGCGTGCGATTACGGCTAGTAATCTATAAACTTGTGCGAGTTTATTTTCAAGTTTTACGCTTTCATTTTTTATCATCGTTGAATTAATTAGTGAGTAGGTATGTGTTATTTGTTTCCTAAAAATAGGTAAGATTTTTTTATTTATCTATTGCTTAGATGGGTGTACGAGCTCACGGCTCACTTAGTGTTAGAGGTTATCAGAGCCCACAGACATCTATGAAGTAAATGCCGCCACGCAGCTCGAGAAATTAGTTCTTAGGTTTCAATTTTTACAGTACAACGGCTGTCCCGCC